TGGATCTGCGACCTAGAGATTATGAATCTCACGCACATACTACTTATCTACGGATATCCTAGTGACTACTGAGCGTAAATAATCAATCAGAAACACTAGCCACAAATAAAGCAGAGAACAGATCCTAAGCTAATTCCAATGCTACAGATCGTGATTCTAGCAAAAAAAATCACCAAATAAATAAAAACACTTTAAATGAACAATTTTACTTGCGAGTTAGGTTCGACAAAAAAAGGTTCGTACTAATACACTACGCTTCGCAAGCTTGCAAGTGCACTAATAAGATGCCAATAAAATAGATGCTAATAAAATACCAATTATATGCAGCAAAAATGCCTTCAAATATGAAAAAAATAGTGCTAAGTGCGGCGTTGCACCTCCAACAAGTAGCGTAGGAAATGATGTCGAAAAAAGATATTTCCAAAAAATTTGAACGAAAACTGAATTGAGGAATAAAACTATTCAGAAAGAAGTTTTTTGTATAAAAAATAGAGCATTCAGGTGTTAAACAAAAAAAGCGTAAATAAATGCAAAATCGAAGTTGAGAAAAATAGAACCAAGATATAAAATTAACTACATTTTTAACTTCAAACATAGCCAACAGACAGTTGAAAAAAAATCCATGAAAGCAAGAAAACATGAAACAGCAAATCGAAGATTGGAAAAGAGTAATGAACGCAAGCAAACATAAAAAAAACATTGACTTTCTTGAATATCTCTCAACTTTCGAATTTCAAAAGCAAATAGACGCCCTTTAAATCCTTTAAATTTCTAGAACAATTTATGATTGGCGCTTTTTTTGATAATATGAAGTCAACTTGAGAAAACTGGATCAATAGGTAAAGTTTTTATTCTGCTGGGAAACCTTTAAAATAAATTCCACTTTCGAAACTTGAAAACATACACATTTTTTTGCGTCATTTTCTCGTTCATATTTGGAGAGTGCTATTAAAGTAACTTTCAGAAATAAATTTCAAATGAACTCAAATACAAAAAGTACATTATAGCAATCATAATAATCATACCAATAATAAAAATTCAAGACTTTAAAAAAAAAAATCTGCAAGACCTATTTAAGAGTCTTCATCAAGTTCATTGCTCTTACAAAAAATTGTTGAATAAATATCAACTTTGGAAAATCAAAGAGAAAAATAAATGCTCTCAAAGCTCTTGGACCTTCTAGAACAATTAATGATCGGCATTTTTTTGATAAAATTAACCCAATTTGAGAAAACTGGATAAGTTAAAAAAAATATTTCGCTGCAAAATCTGAAAAATTAACATCAACTAGCGTGTAACGCACCTCCGGTGCTTCGAATTTTTGACAACCCATGAAAAACCGCATACATTGGAAACCACATCTGCAGGCTTTGTGTACTCTGACAGCACCCAATTATTTGGCTGGTAATTTGACATTTATAAACTTTTTAAAATCCTATTTTCGGTCATCTCGAAAAAAAAACTCTCGAAAAAAAAGTTAATTCAGTAGTCATACTTGGAGGCAAGATTTACAGCTCCTGGGAGTACCCTGGCAGCACCCAATTACAGGGTTGGGATATTAAAATTTTGAGAATTTTTCTAAGCCTTAGTTAAAAGAAAATTTTGGAAAAATCATAGAAAAAAATCCTCTGATCTCGAAAACTACAAGGATTTGAGCAGTCATAATTGAAGGCAAGATTTGCAACCCCAATGAGACCCCAGACAGCACCCAACTACAGGGTTAGAAATTTCAAATTAGAAAGAATAAAAATTTCATTTTCTAAAAAACTTTGACAAAATCACAAAAACGTCATGTCTGGAGAACTAAAAAGATTAGAGGAGTCATAATTGAATGCAGGGTTCACAACCCGTAAGAGTACTCTGACAGCCCCCACCAACAGGGTTGAGAACTTCAAAGATCGAAGAAACAAATTTGTTTGGGTTTTTTGAAATTTTTCTGAAAAAATCACTAAATACGTCATATCTCAAAAACTACAAGGAATTGATCAGTTATATTTGGAGGCAAGATTCGCAACTTCTGAGAGTGCCCTGAAAGCACCCAACTACAGGGTAGGGAATTTCAAACTTTGAAAAACAAAAACTCCTTAAGTTTTCTTGAAATTTTTTTAAAAAATCACAAAAAAATTGTCACATCTCGAAAACTACAAGAATTTGAGCGTAGTTAGCAAGCTGTTGATAGTGACGGAATCGAACCTACGACATAGAGATTAAGAGTTCTCTCATCGGATCATTGATAAATTCCAATACAAATGGAAAGCTGCCCTTCGCGAACGCTAGCGAGAACACTACAAAAAGCAGCTCTAAAAAGTGCACTAAAAACAGAAATAAGCCTCGAGATAGTAAAAAAAAAATCTACCACCTCTCATTTCGTTCTGCGACCTAAAGATTATGAATCTCACCCACGTACTACCTATCTACGGATACTTAATCAATCAGAAACACTAGCTACAAATAAACCAGAGAACAGATCCTAAGCTAATTCCAATGCTACAGATCGTGATTCTAGCAAAAAAAAACCACCAAATAAGTATACACTTTTGATGAACAATTTTATTTGCATGTTAGATTCGACAAAAAGGTTCGTACTAATACACTACGCTTCGCAAGCTTGCAAGTGCACTAATAAGATGCCAATAAAATAGATTCTAATAAATTGCCAATTCTATGCAGCAAAAATGCCTTCAAATATGAAAAAAAAAACAGTGCTAAGTGCGGCGTTGCACCTCCAACAAGTAGCGTAGGAAACTCCTGTTTTTTTTCCCTCAGAGCAAGAAGGCCAAGCCACGGCATAAAATAAGCTAAAAAAAGGAGCGATAACTAGACCGACAATTTCAAGGTACACTCTCTTTGATCCGAGAAAAATGATGTCATAAAAAGATATTTCCAAAAAATTTGAACGAAAATTGAATTGAGGATTAATAATATTCAGAAAGAAGTTTTTTAAATAAAAAAATAGGGCATTCAGGTGATTAACAAAAAAAGCGTAAATAAAGGCAAAATCGAAGTTGAGAAAAATAGAACGAAGATATAAAATTAACTACATTTTTAACTTCAAACATAGCCAACAGACAGTTGAAAAAGAATCAATGAAAGCAAGAAAACATGAAACAGCAAATTGAAGATTGGAAATGAGTAATGAACGCAAGCAAACATAAAAAAAAACATGGACTTTCTTGAATATCTCTCAACTTTCCAATTTCAAAAAAAAATAGATGCCCTTTAAATTCTTTAAAATTCTAGAACAATTTATGATTGGTGCTTTTTTGATAACATGAAGTCATTTTGAGAAAACAGGATCAATAGGTAAAATTTAATTCTGCTGGGAAACCTTTTAAATAAATTCGACTTTCGAAACTTGAAATCGTACACGTTTCTTTGCGTCATTTTCACAATCATATTTGGAGTGTGCTATTTACGTAACTTCAGAAAATGAAATTCAATTTAAATCAAAAAGTGCATTAAACCAATCATAATAATCATACCAATAATAAAATTTCAAGACTTTTTTTAAAAACAAATCAGCAAGACCTATATAAGAGTCTTCATCAAGTTCATTGCTCTTAAAAACAATTGTTGAAGAAATATCAACTTTCGAAAATCAAAGAGAAAAATAAATGCTCTCAAAGCTCTTGGACCTTCTAGAACAATTAATGATTGGCATTTTTTGATAAAATTAACCCAATTTGAGAAAACTGGATAAGTTAAAAAAATTATTTCGCTGCAAAATCTGAAAATTAAACATCAACTAGCGTGTAACGCACCTCCGGTGTTTCGAATTTTGACAACCCATGAAAAACCGCATATATTGGAAACCACATCTGCAGGCTTTTAGTGTACTCTGACAGCACCCAATTATTTGGCTGGTAATTTGACATTTATTAACTTTTTAAAATCCTATTTTCCGTCATCTCGAAAAAAAAAAACTCTCGAAAAAAAAAGTTATTTCAGTAGTCATACTTGAAGGCAAGATTTACAACTCCTGGGAGTACCCTGGCAGCACCCAATTACAGGGTTGGGTTATTTAAATTTTGAGAATTTTTCTAAACCTTGGTTAATTAAAAAGCAGGCATTCAGACAGACAAAGACTTAAGTTGGCCTCAAAAAAATTTATGAAAAACTAATAACCTTGCGGAAAACTAATTGAAAATTTTTCTTAGGCATTGCAATATATGATATAGTTTAAACATGAAAAAAATCTTTCGGTAAACATTCAAAATTATTAAGCTTAAACATGTGAGATAGCTGTCACTAGCATAGTATAGATATAGATAGATAGATTAAATATAGTATAGAGAGATAGATAGATAGATAGATAGATAGATATCGATATAGATAGATAGATAGATAGATAGATAGATAGATAGATAGATAGATAGATAGATAGATAGATATAGATAGATAGATAGATAGATAGATTCGAAACTAGAAGTCGATCACGTTCTTTGTGACCTTTAGACATTTGCTGTTCAATAAGGGCTTGCCTTCGTTTCAACAAAAGAAATGAACTGAACATAAAAATAAATCAAAAGTCAAACCGCGAAAACGTAAATTTAAACCTGAACAAATTTTAAAACTTTTTCTGAAAAAAAAAAAATCATCGCGACCTATATAAGAGTCTGAATTACGTTCATCGACTCTTAACCATGTTCAAATTATGTCTATTGATGAGGACTATTCGGCAGTAAATGAGCTGCTGGGTCTAGCTGTTCTGCGCTGAACCCTATGAACAAGTTGTACCCGGAAAAAATTCTAGTACCCGATTAATACAATTTCTCCTCGAACTCCTTACTCACCTTTTAAACGACCATTTCTTCTTCTTCTTTTTGTTTGTTCTGAACGGGCGGGCGAATGAGTTGCCAGTAATCATGTGCTGAAAAAAGTCTCTTCAGAGCATTTTTCTAATCTGAAAACAATTACTTTTCACACTTGATCTGGCAGCTAGCGGAAGTTGACGGCGTTTTATTACCAGTACAAAGTACATGGGTTAAATATTATCAGCCTTACAAAGAAAAACAGATACTCTAAATTAGTAGTTGGCAACTAGCTCATCAGACCATTTAGACCTCTCGTGGGTACCATATATAAATATATATCAAACCACAAATTTTACCATATTGGGTAATGGTTGGAATGGAAAACCACTTCTAACTTTCTTTCTATCAATTCAAGTTTATCATTTCAAATCTGCATACATAAATAACTAAGCGTAAAAGCGATAAATCTCTCGATAACCCTAAATTATTCATCCATACTGGATCAATTCACTCCAAATTTCAACCCACTTATTGGCCTTTATTTTGAGAGGTTTCGCAAAGTCAACTGCATATAAATATTCCACATCGGTCATCCTTTATAGACACCAATTACACTGGTCAGATTTGACCATTAGGATAAAAAATGTAAGTGGGGGTGTCTAGTAAAGATTGCGAATTAGAACCAGTATAAAACAAAATTAAAATATCAATTTGAAGCCTCCTTGTGTAGATATGCCGTCGCATTCAGACTATCATCTTCTCCTTTGTTCAATCCTCCCACGGGAGGAGGAGTTGTTTCTCCGCCAGTTTCTAATCTCTTCACGAAAGCGAGTAAATTCTGCTTGCATATCTGGGCAATATAGGCTATGTTGTGTTGCATGATGTGAACTGAATTGTTAGTTACTACTATCAGGTCGTGCACACCGTCATTTGAGAGGTCAACGACCTCTAAGGCTCTAACTGGCCCAGGATACTTGCGCTCCCACATCAGCTCATAGATATTCTGTTTAATACAAAATTAGTCATGTTTTCCCACGCAGCGAAAAAGGCTGAGAAAATTTGTACACATAGCACTTGCGATACAAAACAATACAGCCGCTAATTCGAAACAATATCGAAAAAATGCCGAAATCTATCAAAATGAATAAAACTAGTTTTCAAAAAAAACACCAAGACAATAGAAGATGAAATTAACATCAGAAGAAAATTAACCAAGCTTTAAAAAGCCGAAAAAAAATGAGCAGAAACCCTTTCAGCCGAAAACATTTCACAAAAGACTTATTAAAACTAATAAAAAGTTGGTAAAGCCGCATCCACCTTAATACACACAAGCACACAAAAGGGTTTTTGCTCATCAAACGACGCAGTATGAGGCCAATAAGCGGATATAAAACAGGCCCAAACTTATTAAAACCGAGAAAAAAAGAAAAATGAAATTTTAAAAAAGACTAAAATTGATTGAAAAGTTAATAAAGACCCATACCCTTCAATATACACACACGCACACAAAAACGTTTTTCGCTCATCATGGACGCAATATGAGGCCCATAAGCAGATAAATTTAGGCCGAAACTTATTAAACCGAGAAAAAAGAAAAAACAAAAAAATGAAACTTTAAAAGACTTAAAAACTAATGAAAAAGTTGTTAAAGCCCCATCACCTTCAATAAACACATGCAAATTGAAAATTTTTCGCTCATTGAACGACGCCACTTCAGGGCACTTAGTAGATATAACACCGGCCGAAACTTATTAAACCGAATAAAAATAGAAGAAAAACAAAAAAAACGAAATAAAAGTACAAGTTGGTAAAATTATTACCAGCCTGAAAAACAAATTTTGAATATGACCGATAATTAAAATGCTAACATGCTCAAATAAAGTCTGTTGCAGTTTCCAATAGAGACCAGAAGATTAATAAGTCCAGGAGATGAGTCCTGTGGACAAAGTTGGTTACCGGGAAAAAAGTCTAGTACACGATTGCAATACTCTTGCTTATCGCAAGGCGGCAATTCCAGGCGACAGTTGCTTATCGCAAGGTAAACAGGCGACAGTTCATACTAGTTTAAGAGGCAAATATTAATAAATGCGCCTAAGACCGCGAATTTAATCGCATCGGAGCAAGTGATCACTGCTTGTCAATGCCTTGTTATGAATTTACAGCTGTTACGAATTCTTACCGAACACGAAAACATAACCTGGAAATGTAAAATTTCCAAAATCCACATCAAGCTTCACGCAGGTGAAAAAAGAGAGCAAAATACTTCAAAGTGAAACACAGATTCGTGGAATGATTTTTATATTTATTTGAGAGCTTATACTAAACATAGCCATCAGACAGTTGGAAAAGAGTGAACGAACGCAAAAAAAAACAGAAAAAATATCAATTTTTGACAGAAAAACACAGATGCCCCTAAAACTATTTGAGATTCTAAAATAACTTATGATTGAACCATTTTTTGATAAACTAACCCATTTTGAATAGGTAATTTTTTTATTCCGCTGGGAAATCGGAAAATTAAATTCAATTTCGAAACTAGAAGTCGATCACATTCAGAAAGAAAATGAACTGAACTTTGAAAAAATCAAAGTCAAACCGCGAAAAAGTAAAACAAAAAATGAAAAATATCACGACTTACGTTCATCGACTCTTCTAAAATATACGGCCTTAAAGCTCATCGAATTTCAAGAATATGTTGTGATAGACATTTGATGATAAAACTCAAAGAGTTCATGGTAAGCTAGCCGACCAAAAATATGTCTGAAATCAAAGCCGAGAAAAAAGTATTTCAAGAATGAAAATTGCCGGTCTGAACTTACACTGAAAAAAATTTGTCCTAATATCCTGAGTATAAACAATTTCCCCTCAATGTGAAGTCCCCCTCAGCGTGAAAATTTTTGGCTAAGAAAGTGATGTAATATGAGGCTACTTAGTTAGTGTATAAATGATACGCCGAAACCATTGAAGTGAATCAAAAAGTACTAGCGTGTAACGCACCTTCGATGCTTCAAATTTATGATAAATCACAAAACCGCAGATATAAGAAATAAAAATTGCATCCTTTGAATGTACTCTGACAGCACCCAATTACAGGGTTGGTAATTTCATATTTTGTAAAGTTATTCAAGTTTTTTTAATTCAAAATTTGAAAAACCATACTATTTTGTGATTTTTTTATATCTAAGTTCGTTGAAAATTTTTAAAATGACAAAAAAACGCCATTTCTCGGAAACTAAAAGCAAAGGAGCAGTCGCATTTGCACCCAAGATTTGCAACTTCTGAGAGTACTCACAGCACCCAACTACAGGGTTGGGAACTTCAAATTGAAATTCTCTATTTTTTTTTTAAGTGACATATCTCCAGAACTACAAAAACTTGAGAACTCATATTTGGAGGCAAAAATTGCAACCCCTGAGAGTACTCTGACAGCCTCTGACATCAGATTAGGAATTCCAAACTTTGAAGAAAGAAATAAATTTAAGTTTTCTGAAAACTTTTTTGAAAAGAAAAACAGAAAAAACGTCATATCTTGAAAACTAACAGGATTTAAGCACTTGTAGTTGCAGAAAAAACTCGTAACCCCTAGTAGCGCATTGAAAAGCCTCAATATAGAGATAGGAACTTAAATATTTTATATCTTGAACATTTAAAGAACATTTAAAGACATCTTTGAACATTTAAAGACATTACAAACGTCGCATCTCGGAAACTAAAAACATTTGAGCAGTCGCAATCGGATGCAAAATCTGCAACATGAAACTCCTGAGAATACCCTAACAGTACCCAACTACAAGGTGGAGAATTTCAAAACTTTTTTAAAATTATTCATATTTATATTTAATTTTTAAAATCTAAGTTTTCTGAACAAACAAAAAAAACAAAACACGTCATATCTCGAAAACTACAAAGATTTGAGCAGTCATTTGGATGCAAGTTTTACAATCCCTCAGAGTGCCCTCACAGTTTCACACTACAGGATTCTAAAACTGTCATATCTCGAAAACTACAAGGATTTGAGAAGTCATATTTCGAGGCAAGATTAGCCACTCATGTGATAACCCTCACAGTTTCCACCTAGAGGATTGAGAATTTCAAACTTTAAGAATTTAAAGGATTTGAGAACTGATATTTGGAGGCAAGATTCGCAACCCCGCAGAGTACCCTGGCAACACCGAACTACAGTGATGAGAATTTCAAATTTTGTAAAGATTTCAAAACTTAAGGTTTCTAGAGATTTCTGAAAAATCGCGAAAACTGCCGTATCTCGTAAACTTAAAGGATTTGGTTATTCATATATGGAGGCCAAAACCACAACACCTGGGGAAGTCCTGACAGCATCCCAATACTGGGTTGCTAATTTCTAATTTGGTGAAATAAACACTGAATTCAAACTCGTAAAAAATCTTAACCATTGCAATATACGATATAGCTTGAACATAATACGTTGAAAAAGCTTAAACATGGCGAGATAGTGAAGCCCGCATTTAAATATATAATAGATTATTTTCGAGTGGGAAATCTATTCATTAAATCCTTTTTCGACTACCCAAAAACTATTCACGTTTTTTTCGTGTTATTTGCCACTTGCGTAGTTGGAGAGCCTGATTTCACTTTCTCTTTGCAAATGAAATTGAAATGAGAAGAAATCATAGGCGAAGAATCAAAACCTGAAATAGACAGAAGAAAATTAACACGACCTACATTAAGGTTTTAACTATGTTTATTGGCCCGTAAAAATAATGTGTTTTCGATAAAATTCCAATACCCCGAAAAATGCAATCAAGGATTAAATTAAGCCGAAAAGGGAGAAATCCTAAGAAAAAACCTGGAGACTGCTGTGATCTAAATTCCGAACTGTGAAAAAACGCTGATCGCAATGGTAATCATAATACAAAACTGCATATATAAATCAAACGATTCCTTTCAGCATATTTATGTCTACCTTAACGGGCGAAAATTTGAATGCTGCAATCTGTTGATAGAATGTTCCGATGACTATCTCATTTTGACAGTCCATGTCTATGTCATATACTGCACAGCACAGAACACAGTCGGCCTCGATACTTGAGTCATCAAAGGGCACCACTTTCGAAAAGCTGCTGTTAACCACGTCGTGATACACGTACACAAACCTTAAATCAATTGCACACCATTAAAAAACGAGTGTTTTTAACTTCAAAGAGCTATCTAAAATTGTACAATCACAAAACCCAAGTGCTCACGAACCGAAGATACTAAAACCTACAGCTTTTTTTCTTAATAGGCTCTTTTCTCTTGACGTTTAGAGTCCAAAACCTAATAACATAACAAGGATTTACAAAGAGGCGAAGCGGAGCTTCCTACCAGTTGCGATACAACACAAAACAGCCGCTAATTCGAAAAAATTTCAAAAATGCCCAAATCTATCAAAATGAAAAAAAAACTAGTTTACAAAAAACACCAAGACAATAGAAGATAAAATTAGCATTAGGAGAAAAATAGCCAAGCTTTAAACAAGCCGGAAATACCTGAGCAGAAACCCTTTAAGGCGAAAACATTTCACAAAAGACTTATTAAAACTAATAAAAAGTTGGTAAAGCCGCATCCACCTCAATACACACAAGCACACGAAAAAGTTTTCGCCCATCAAATGACGCAAAATGAGGCTAATAAGCCGCTATAAAACAGGCCCAAACTTTTTAAAACCGAGAAAAAATAAAAAGAACAAAAAAAATGACATTTTAAAAAAGATGTTGAACCCCACGTTAAAAGTTAACAAGACTGCTCGTATCATGGCGAAGCCCTGAATGTTCCGACTGCCTTTTAAGGTTTTATGGATCAGTAATAACATTAAAAAAAAACAAATGAAATAAAAGAAAATGAAACTCTTTTTTCTAAAATTCGAATTTTTTTTTGAAAATCATCCCCCCACATGCCATATAAAGTACAAAAGGATAAATTTCGCTTTTTGTAACAAATCAATTATGGCAATTAAGCTGCTTTCAACGAATTTGGAACAATTTTACGACTGATTAACTCTCCGCTTGCGCGTTAATAGCGCGAAATATATCGCGCGTTAATTGTCCCAAATTGGCCAAAATTGCAATCTTTAAACTCCCATAACTTTACGAAAAATGATCACAGGTGAAATATCTTTTCAAATTTGAGCTCAGGACAACAATAGCTTTCGAACGATATAAAAAAATTCCGTCAAAAATGGTTAGTTAAAAAATTTGTCTGAAGAAAAAAAAACTCACCCCGAGCACAAATATTCCGTTACTTTCGTATCGAAAGTCGGAACAATAAAGCCCCACCCCCTTCAATACACACACGCACAGAAAAACGTTTTTCGCTGATCAAACGACACAATATGAGGCCCATAAGTCGATATAATATAGGCCGAAATTGACTTAATCAAGAAAAAAGAAAATAAAAAAATGAAATTAAAAAGGCCGAAACTCATTAAAGCGAGAAAAAAAAATGAAATTTTAAAAAGACTTTAAACCGATTTAAAAGTTGTTAAAGTCCCATCCCCTTCAATACACACACATAAAAACATTTTCGTTCATCAAACGACGCAATATGAGGCCAATAAGCCGATATAAAATAGGCCGTAACTTATTAAACCGAGAAAGAAAGAACAAAAAAATTTAAGTTTGGAAGACTTAAAAAAAAGTTGTTAAAGCCCCATCACCTTCAATACACAAAAGCACAGTGAAAATTTTCTGCTCACTAAACGATGCCAACTCAGGGCACTAAGCCGATACAATATAGGCGAAATTCATTGAACCAAATGAAAATTTTAAAAAAAGCACAAAATGAAATAAGAAAATAAGTTAGTAAAATTACTACAGACCTGAGAAACAAATTTCGAAATGCTAACATGCTCTAAGAATATGCTAACATGCTCTATAAAAATATGTCTGTTGCAGCTTCTAACAGATACCAGGAGATTAATGAGTCCAGAAGATGACTCCTATGGACTAAGTTGTGTCAGGGGAAAAAAGTCTAGTACCCGATTGCAATACCCTTGCTTATCATAAGGGTAAAAAAAGTTCCATAATGCCATTTTCTTTAAAAAGAAAAATTGCATTTACTCTAATGCAGTACAGACAACCAAGTTGATCTCGGTATTGCCTAGATCTACTGCTTTGCTGGTGAAGAATCGTAACTGAGTAACAGGACCGTCGAAGCAAATAACTTTCGCAAACAAGAGCTCCACTGCAATAGGTGGTGATTCAGTTGTGTTTTCTTGGGAAGTGGTTATACTCGTAAGGGCTAGCTAAAACATACCAATTTACTTACTAATATCGACAAAAATTCTAAACTTCAATTTTGATTGCTTCAAAACTTACATAGTGGTCACCTAATATGCTTAAGCACTGCAAATCACGAGACTTACATTGATATACTGAAAAGAAAAAATTGACTGAAAAACAATGAATTTATTTCTCTAATACACTTTTTTGATGACACTGCTAACTTATCATATACTAGTGTGATAATATTTGAAAAAGATTGACCGGTTGCCATGCTAGTAGCACAGAATGACCAGAGCACGCAACATACGGCTAGAAAAGTGTAATAGGACAAGGAAACCACAAAGTTTTCGAATTATTGAACATTCGAATTTCGAATAAAACAATATATATATTAAGTTAAGACTCATTGAATTTCAAGAACTGTCATTTTTTATGGTGATAATCTGAAAATTAAAATACTCTTTCGAAAATTATTGTGACCTTTAAATTTTTGCTGTTCGATAGTTGAGTGTGCCTTTCTTTTAAGACAGAAAATAAACTGAGCTTAAGAATATATCAACTGAAGCGAGAAAAACAAACTTGAGATTGAAGAAATCTTAAAATTTTCCTCGCCAAAATAAACGACCTCGATGAGTGTCTTCTATGTTCATTCGTTGCCGCTTTAGAAGGGGAAATATCTGAACAATTACTCTCGACATAGAGAGCATTTAAAAAATTTTAACACAGAGGGGAAGCTGAGCGATACAAACTTGCGATACAAAACCACTTGCGATAGAAAACAAGAAAACCGCTAAGTCAGAAAAAAAATGGAAAAGGTCAAAAAACCAGATCCACCGAAACGAAAAGCTATTTTTTCAACAAAAATTTTATTTGCTTGTCAAATGAAGCATTATAGGCCGATATTGAATAATCCAAACCCTATAAAGCCGAAAAAACAGAACAAAAACACGCCAACAAAAGAAACTTTACCAATGGGTAGCGAAGCCGAAAATACCTTAGCAGAAAACCTTTTGGCCGGAAATATCAACAGTAGTTAAGACTTCTAAAAAGTTTTTAAGTCCACCTAACGCTCATAACACACTCACACACAATGAATTTAATTGCTTGTCGAATGAAGCATTATAGGCCGATATACTACAGGACAAAACCTATTTAGACGAAAACAGAAAAAAAAGACGGAACAAAATCAAAAAAATTCAAGGCTAATAAAAAGTTAGAAAGTCCTTTTCATCTTCACTCAAAAATACACACTCACATACAATTTTTTTGGCTCGACGAAAGACGAATTTGAGGCCATTAAGCCAATATAATATAGGCCGAAACCTATCAAGCGGAAAAAAGGAAACAAATAAAGCTGAATAAAAATTGTTGTCATGAACTATAAATTCTACAGAGATATTGAGCAATTTGCGCAATCCAGATAGGGGCATTAAAGTTATGTTTCCCTCCAAACGACACAAACTCAAGGCTAGTACAATTAAACCCGCAGAAATACATCAAAACACTAAAAATACTATGTAAATTGCGCAAAGCAAAAAATTCTATGTGGCAACTATGTCGCCAAAACATAAGCAGATAAATATTAAGCCGACAATTTTTTGAAACTTCTACAATTTCTAATTTTGACCATTGCTTGAACAAAGTTTTTCTACGGGAAAAAAGTGTAGTACTATTATACCAGATTGCAATACCCTTGAATGTAATACCCCGCTAAACACCTTACTGTCTTTTTCTAAAATAGCTATTAACAATGCAAAAATACTCCGCCATAATTTTTTCAGAGAAGTAGAACAAGACAATTGTAAATTATAGAATTTTTTAAAATCAGAAAAGATCCGTACTTTGAAAATTAAGCCGACAAAAAATCAGCAGACAAACGAAAACGGGACTCCAATTTCACCCCAAAACAATCATATATCCCTAAAAAATAAAAGGCCTGTCTGACTGGGACTCGAATTCTAGACCTTAGGGTGAAAACAAAAGCGCGTTATGCCAAAAGCAAGTGCAAAGGATACCGAAAATTTTTTGGTTCAGTAATAAGCAAGTTCAATTTCATGTTTTATATGCAAAAATTCTAGTTCCCGATAACAGGACCGTTGCTCCCGCAAGTGTACTTTTCCGGAAGGAATAATTGTAAACTGCCATACTACAATGAGAAAGATCATTTTGAGCTTCGATTTTGTTCCAACCATTCAAAATGGAGAGAAACTTCGTCTTCAGGTGTGTTTATAGTTTTTCTTTTTCTTAAATTTTCGCGCAAAATCAGTTAGCAAAAATATTCATCAGAATAAGTAGAAGTATATCATCGAAAAGCCTTTTCAATCGTGATTCGAACAACATTTAAAGAACTTTCTCTGTTGAGGAAAACTGGCCCTTAATTTTCATTTTTGGTCTAATTTCGAGCAAATTAAGTGATAGTTTTTCCTCTGCCGAGAACTTTTTCAGTTGTAGTCCAACTTTTTAAAGACAATTCTGGTCCAATATACCTTACTTAATAACTGTCTACGTGTCGTTCGATTAGTTCTTTTTTCACAACACGCACAAAAAAGTTTGCAGGAATGGTCGGAACATCCTATGCTACTTGCACAGAAACCGGCTATCACTGTGGCTTTTGTATTTTGACATGGGACAATCTAATTTGCAGGACAGTTATGCATACAAGGATTAGTGGGTTACAAAAAGCTAAGATAAATGTGAACATATTTTGGCTTGTAAGCACGCTATTAATTGTTTAAGAAGCCTTTCAAGATTCTTAAAGGCAAAAATCTACTTGAAGCTCAAAAGATCATATCATGCCTTGTCTTAAGCACTATGCCACAACTTTTAATTATTGCAAAAAATACAGTTATTAACTCTTAAATAAGCCAAGACAATTACAAGGACAAGTAAACGCCATTGTAAAAAAAACTCACTTAATGCGTGTGTACTTTTTAAACTTATTTTTTTTATTCCACGAAACAAGACATTATGAAACAGGATATTCTCTTTATGAAAGAGAATATCCATTTGCTTTTACATCTAGTCGAGCGTCTTTATCAGTTAGGGTTGAATTGTTGACAAAGCTCTCGCCTTGCAACGACTGAAGTTTCGGCTCGATTTCAACATCAAAGCAAACCTCGCTCATGAGGGTGGCAAAGATATCTCTGGTTTCGTTATGCCTCATGTGGGTGTATCCACCCTTTGCACAGTGAAGGGCCTGGGTAAGGTCAAAAGATTGACCACATGCTCATGTGAGTGGAATGTTGGTTGGTTCCCATCCATATCTGAGATAAATTCCATCCCGGAATTCGGATTTATTCAGGTTAAAAATATATCTGCTAAGAGGCAGTGCATTTAACCAGTTTGAGGCTCCTTTTTTGGAGGCCAGCTCAAGTGCGTATTTTTCATTGTCGCTCAAGTTGTTCAAAATGTTAGTTCTCTTTTGGTTTGTTCTTTCAGTTTTGAGTGTTTTAATTGTGTATTGATTTTTTCTTGCTCAGATATAGCTGATAATGGGTGGTATGTGTCTAGGACTGATGATGTTTTAATTGACCATTCTAAAAAATTCTCATAGTCAGAAGGTAGCTTGATATTTAGACCACCCATTTTTATTGGCAAAGAAGCGATGTCTCTAAATTGATGGCTGATATTATCTTTACCAATTAAATTTGGAATGAGATTATCCTGCAGTGGCCTGCATGTTTTCTGTGGTATTGGGTGTAGTTCTAGCTAAAGACGATAATTTTTCTTGTACCCCTTTGGTGTAACAGGAGTACACGTTTTGTGATGTTTTCGCGATCTTGCCAAGAATTTTCAGTATTTTATTATGTTCTTCTTACTGAGTTTCTAAGAAAATTTTACATTCAGTCTCGGATCCTATGACAGAACTAAGTACTCTGGCTCCTTTCTTCATTTCAATTTCGGTATTTTTGAATACTTTTATCGCCTCATTGTGTTTTACAATGAGCTGGCATTTCGATGCATTTACATGATATCCAAAATATTTTCCGTGTCTGATAATGTTGTCAAGAACTCTTCGCAGGCTTTTCAAATTACCGACTGCGTTGCCATCATCTGCATACCATTTCTGTGTTACGCTGTTATCGTTGACTAGTTTTATTAAAGGTACAGTGGCTAGCCCGTACATTGCCATTGCTAATGGGTCTCCTTGTGTGGTTCCTTCTCTAGATAGGATTACTTTTTCATTTACGAAAAATTTGACGGATTAGAGTATGAGTTCTGTATTGCGGGTAGTCCCAATGTGCTAATTGTTTTAAAGCACCCAAAATTTATTGCCCTTAAAAATTAGCCTATATCAAAAATAACGGATACCTGAATATTTCCATTCTCCCATGCAATGGCAGACAGCCTTTTATGCTCAGCAAAGGGTACGTACATCACATCCAGCCACATAATAAGTGGTAGCGGCTGATCAACTTGTTCCAAAAAACGGCGGTCAAATTGGAATTCTGGGAATAACTTCTGAGACTCGTCGTGCGAAAGCTCGCTAAACTTGAAGAGCTGATCTGTTGAGCAATTTCGGAAAATGTGAACGTCTGAATTTTCGCACGGAATTAGAAACACCTGTGAAATGAGAACCTTTTGAGAGCCTTCTTTTGAAAAAAAGAACGGATCAACCGTACAATTCCCCCCCCCTAATCGATTTAGGGTGGATAAATTACTCGTTTTTCATATATCAACTTCGAGGGCAAACTAAATTGATCTAATTAGTCAAAAATTAATTCAAAAATAACTATGAATAATAATTTGGTTAATTAACAGTAGAAAACAGGTGCTCCTTTTGGAAAATTTTCACAAGAAGTCTATTCTGCGCTTTTGTTTGAAATGAATATTTTATACGAAATCAATTTTCAAAAAATACGAGGCTAGGGGTGAGCTTCTACGATAACAAATACGTGGCAAGGGGGAAGGAGATTGCACGGTTGATCCAAAAAAAAACACTTCTTTTGAGCGTTTTTCATTTTGATTTTCGCAGAAAAAAAAAACATGTGACGTTTTTGCGAAATCTGGAAATTAAAATCGGCATTCTAAATTACAAATAATTCACGTTTTTTCGGGCGATTTACAACTAAGTTATTGGATAGCGTAATGTGAATTGAAATTACAAAAAATTCCAAACTTCGTTCATTAACAATAATTCGACTTTCGCTGCTCATCGATATCAAGTGGAAATAATTTATCTCTGATGCTTAATTTTTGAACTATGATACAGAAAGTATCTTGAAATGAGAAAAAGCTCACTCAACATTTTGATCGTCCTCGGGAGTGCCTAAAAAGGCATCGGTTACGTTGGTTGGGTTGAAAGTCACTACTTGTTCAACATAATCTACAGGTGTCGAGGCGGCATCGTCCACACTCGGAGCGGAGTAAATATTTATGCAGCACTTCTGGTCTAAACTCTCATTTTCAGGGTCCTCCTCAACCTGGTTGATGAATATGACACCTTTAACAAACGTTCAATTCTTTCTATTTCAGTTGTCGAAAGACGATTTCGGACAAGGAAATGATTTCATTCCTATCTCCAAACTTACATATTAGATTCACATCTTTCTTAGGAATAGAGTGGACAGCGAGGACGGTGAAAGAACTCTGGAACTCGGTTAGACCTGGAAGTTCTACAGTGGGAGCAGTTCCACGAAGATTATCTGCCCTATCAAAACGAACAATTCGAAAGCAATTTTCGAGAGCTTTTTCATTGGAGTCTGTTGCTGCAACTAAGACTTCTTCTGCTTTACGATTGCAGTTAAAAAGCTTAGTACTTCCGTAGACATTGGTAATCCCATCGAGTTTTACAGAGAAGCCTTCCCAGAGCCAGCTTTTGGGGTGAACTTCCATAACTAAATAATTCTTGAGGTAGAGCTTGTCATACGACACAAAATGAAACTTGTTCACTGGTGCAGTTCATCATAGTCTGTAATAATTTTTTAAATGTCGTATAGTTATAATTCGAGATCGGGAATGTTTACAGATGAATTCAAGGGCCAACTTCTAGGCCTTAACATTCATCCAAGAGCATAATTAATTGAACAGTTTCATGTTCATCGTTGGAAAAAATCGCCTTGTGTGGAAGAACTTCTAAGTGTGCAGAAGGGGTTTAAAGACAGGTGGGGTATGATATGAGATTTGACGTCTTCGAGGACTCTCCTAAAAACACATTGCTGTTTGCAAACTCTCAATTGACGTTTCTGGAATATAGCGAGTGCAATATTCTATAAATGACTTGATTGTGACATTCGACCAGAATTGACAAAAAGACGTTACGAAGGGCTAGCAGCTAACCTTCCGAATTGGCAGTTTTAGAGGATTAACAGTGTTTTTCAGACGATTAGACAAATCGTGAAGACTGAAGGATTCGGAAATTCTTAATTTTTAAAAATTCGAATTGTGACGTCACGCTTCTGAGAAATCAAAAAAACAGAACGATATACGTTGCGAAAACAACAACCACGACAGTTGTGAGAAAAACGACGAGAAATACGACAGAGTGTCACCAGTGACCGCTCCGAGTTGCAACGATTGTGTAGCTACAATCGTAGCAAGACCATTCACAACAACGGTGAAGGGTGGAAACCAGCCTCCCGGGGAGGAAATAAGGGTGTTATTTACCCTGATTCAAGAATCCGGAGGGGTCTCGGGACTTGGACTTAAACCATTTTAAACAAACTTTTAGCTTCCCGATTATGTCCTGAATTGAATTTATTTAACATCTGAATTCATTTTTTGACGATGGGAAGCCAGGAGTTAAGGGAAAGGGTTGATCCATCTTCGATGGAGATGATGATTTTTATCTACTGAACAAAAACAATAGTAATATAATAAGTAGTAGTAGCCCTGTTTTTAAGAGTGACCTCGTGGTCTGGGGATACTGAGACCCAGCCATGAGCTCACTAATTTTGCATGTAAACAAGTTACTTGAGTGTTTTGACCGAAGCCGAAAGCAGTAACGTTTTTGTCGACCCGATGTTAGAAAGACCACCAAAACAACTGGCTTTGGTAGAGACGGTGAAAAGCATGTAGAGCATAGTTTAGACGCTGGCCGGTCGTTTCATAGCTTAGCTTTATTTTCCGTCAATATGTACTTCCGGGCGAATGTTACATAGAATGTTACGGGCGAATTATGGCGCTCCTGGGTGTTATTCTTTTTTAACATTATGATCGGCAGAAGCGTTAACGAGCACTCCGCGCCGAGCGGATGCTCATAATAACGCCCTTAATAGGCCCGGGGCGGAAGGGTAGTTCGGAATGCGGAAGCCTTCCGGATTACCGTGAATAGCTTTTCAACCTAGTTAAGACCGAAAATTCACGTTCCAGGAAGGGTGGGGGTATCGGCCGTCCCCTCGTTCCCTGAGAGGTCTGTGACCAAAAACACTTGAAGATACACAAGAAACCAAACAAAAAAAAGTATAGTAGCCAAGGAAAACAAAAAACATCAAAAACAAACAAAATAACCAAAAACAGTTTTAAAAAAAGTGAAAAAAAAATCAGTTGAAATAATCCCCCCAGACAACATATGATCCGACCCTCCTGTTTGTTGTTGATAGATATATTGTTGTTACAAGCATTTATATGAATCAATATTGTTACGATCATTTTTGTGGCCCGTTTGTGAGGCTTGTACTGTAGTGTTATTTGAGTATTTAAGCACGTTAATGCTAATTTGCGCTCAATCCGGAAGGGTCAGCTGATTTGCGCTCAATCCGGAAGGTTCTCGGGATTAGTGAAGAAGACTGATCCGGCGAGTAGTACATGGAGTGACAAGAGGGGTCTCAACGACAACAACAGTCGACTGTTGGGTATCGTTAACAAGTTTTGTATCCCTTTTGGTACAAAAAAATAAGATAGTAATCTGTTGGGGGCTCGACAGTGCTGCACTGTAGTGACCCTTCACCGAACTGCGAATTTCCGAGTTAAGCACCTTAATTTGGACATTGAACGAACCCGGAGGGGTATAGTATTACTAGTAATATTACTCATGCAGCCTATATTAATACTTCTATATCGTTTTTCAGTGAAAAACACATTAAGCGGACCTTATTTTAGGATAAAAATAGCGATATTTTGTTCCCCCTACAAATCGCAATTTTGAGCTATGTAACATTAGCCATGAAGTACATATCGACAGAAAACAGAACTAATCTATAAAACGACTGGCCAGAGTCTAAACAGAGCTCTACATGCTTTTCACCGTCAATACCAAAGCCAGTTCTTTTGGTGGTCTTTCTAAAATCGGGTCGACAAAAACGTTTTTGTTCTCCGGCATAGAACGCTCAAATTAACTTACTTACATGCAAAATAGTGAGCTCATGGCTGAGTCTCAGTATCCCCAGACCACGAGGTCACTCCTAAAACAGGGCTACTACTATTTGTTATATTACGATTGTTTTTGTTCAGTAGATAAAAATCATCATCTCTATCGAAGATGGATCAACCCTTTCCCTTAACCCCTAGCTTCTCATCGTCAGTAAATGAATTCAGATGTTAAATAAATTCAATTCAGGACATAATCGGGAAGCTAAAAGCTTGAAAAAAATGATATCAATTCCAGTCCCGAGACCCCTCCGGATTCTTGAGTCCGGGGAAATAACAACCTTATCTCCTCTCCGGAAGGCTGGTTTCTACCCTTCTCAATTGTTATGAATGGCCTTGCAACGATTGTAGCGACACAATCGCTGCAACTCGGATCGGTCTCTGCTAACGCTGCTGTTCGTTCAAATCTCGTTATTGTTTTTTCATCGCGTTTTTCGTTGTTGTCGCCGTCGCAACTTTTGTTGTTCTGTTTTATTTTGGATTTCTTCCAAAATGGCCAATTTTGACGTTTCTCAGAAATATGACGTTATCGTTCGAATTTTTAAAAATTTAAAATACCAGAATATTCTAGCTTTCACAATTTTTTCAATCGTCCGAATAACACCGTTAATCCTCTAAAACTGCCAATTCGGAAGGTTAGTTGCCAATAATCCGAAATTGCATTTTCGTCCATTCTGGTCGAATGTCACATACTCCACGGGCAGCCCGGTCAATGTCCCCATTGAATCTCGTAATGTTCGTAAAAATGGTACAGTGCCATCGAACAGAATTCACAAAATGCAATAAATCACTTTTATCCACGTCATATCGACTCATTGCAGAATATAAATGGCATCATACTACACTACTATAGCCTTCCAAATTCTTTCACTAATCTGCACTTTGAGAATATGACCTAAGATAAAACATTTTTTCTGACTTCCAACGTCTATGCCCTGATTTAAAAGTTTTTCTCCTAGGTTTTAAAGGGTGTTAGTTTGCAGGACAGTCCCGCCAACCAACAAGCTAAAATTATCCTACTATGCTTCTTCACTTCGGAAATTTTAGTTGTTATTGGTCCTGAATATTAAAATTAAGGAACTTTGTGGTTAGAAAGAACAATGAAACAATCTCCCTCTTCAAGTCATTACCCAAGCCTTTCATGTCACCACAAAGTGATCAGTTGCCCTAGTTGATTAAAAACAATTTTGCAGGCTAGAATATTTAATTATACTCTTTACTCAAGTTTTTCTATGAAAATAGTAAGTGTCTCTAAAGCCACTAACTTAAATCAAAATACAAATTTATAAATGCAGCAAAATCTTTAATGTTCAAAACTCAACTAAAATCTTTTCTTTCAGTTTCAATTACAATTTGGTTGCTTAGTTCCTCACTTGAGTTTTTTTGTCAAACATATAAAACAATTCTGAGTTTTAACTTCCTCTCTTCCGTCACTTCTTTGTTCATTTTTTTTCGTCGTTTAGAAGTTCTAATACTTCTAAATTCTTCTAATTTCGTTTCTTTTTGCATCGTGTTTCCCGGCCATTCTGTCAATGCTCCATCTCCTCCACACATCGGTAGCTATTCTGACGCCGTTGTAAGCAGTCCTCCATCACTTCTGCTCTTCTGCACTTTGTTTATAACAAGGTAGGGGGTCAACGTTAGATTCTCTGTTCCTGCAGAAGCTGTTGTGGAGACACAACGTCACGTTTCTCTCCAAATCATCCTTCAACGTCTCTTCTTTCTCCCTTCCATCACGTTCACTCATCCTGGAGATTCTCTTTACGGCGGTGGTCACTGCATTCCAATGAGTTACAAAAGCTCGCTTGAAAGCCCTTGCTCAAACGTCCAGCTGATACGTACTGTACACTCTGCCGTACTTCGACATATGCTTCTTGGCATATTCTTACAACCACGCAGTCATGTTGGCTCTAAACCATGGCATCAGTCGTCTTCTTGCCCATATCTTTTTCACTTCCATCGGAATGTTCAGAACCTTGCACATTGTCTCAAAATTTCTAAAACTTTTAGACAATCCAATTTCTGCAATTGTTCTCTCGTCGGTGCCTCCTGTCTATTGTTCTCCTTCACATGAGCTTCCAGCCATCGTATCACTATCATAACCCCCTTTATCAATATCGTTATGGGCCGTGATGAGTCTGGTAAACCCATGGAGAGCAGCTCTCCAGAGTCCCAGATCAACACCAGATTACTACGCCCGGGATACGACCATATTTGCAGCAAGCAATGGCAGGGAAACTCATCATGTGTTAACATGATGCTCCTCCAATTACGCTTTCCTGAAGCTTCCAGTAGTGGTTCCACTTCCATCATCACTCGGTGGACTTCATCATTCTCATCTACTGTGTTGTAATGCGTAACGGTTGATCCTCTCTGTTTTTGTCTTTCAAAGTCACTGAAAGTCCCACTGACGTATCCCATGAACTCCTTTCCCAGTATCGATTCCAATTCCTCTTTAGTTCTCTCTGGAACTGATGAGAAGATTTTGCACGGTAACTCATAAGACTTTTCTGACATTCTCGCTAGTCTTACACACTTTGGCACTGAGAAGGCCTGATCCACGATCGTTCTCGTACTTTTTACATCCACAGCTACGAAAT